TCAAGACGACCGGAAGCGGTAGATGGCGCAGGCGACGGACGAGGCGCGAACATAATATACGCCCTTAACCACACGCGTCCCGGATGTACGGCGGGCATTATAAGTCCGCGTCCCCGATAATGTCCTCTCTGTCCGGATCTAGCCCGCGTGGTTGTCCAGTGCATTTACTGTGCGGCTCGTCTATGAGGGGAGGAGTTGTACAGCCACTGTCTAGTTCACACAGGCAAAATGATCTCGTCTGTTAATTTATATAATTTTATTGATCCAACTTCCTTCTGGTGTGGCCGACTGACATTATTGCATCGGTTGCCTTATTTGCAAGTACTACGTTTGACAACCCGATCTCACAACAACAACCCGGTCTGACAAGACCAAACAACCCACGTGCAATATGTGCGTTCTATGTGTAGGTTCTAGATTTATAAGTAAAATGTTGTTTTTACTTTACTTTAATCTCAAAAATTCGCAGCAACTTATGTTGTTCCGCAAATTTGTCCGTAGTTTTTCTATATTTTCTTCCTTCTGTAACGCCTAAACCTCATTGCCAACGGTCCCGTAACAAAGATTATGAGGTTTCTGCGTGCTTTTATGTTATCCATTTAAGAATATTCATTGGATGGATAATTACATAATTTGAATTCGCTTTATTAAACGAACCCACTCGTAAAACCCGCATTACGACTATTCCCATAGGGGAGGTAGTCCTGCGTCAATGTGCTGAAGTGCGTATATCCTCATATTGGACCCCTGGGCCTCGGTTCTCATCAAGTAATGCGAAATCCTAAAGTTAAGTTATTCGTATATTTCCCACGAAAAACCAAAGCATATACTTCCAAAAGACAGTTGGTCATGCAATTCACCGTTCCTGCGCCACGCTGCTCTGGAGCATACGGTGGACATAGTCGAAACCGGCGATCAAACTGCCGAGTGTTAGCTGCTCGCGAGGCCCGAATCTGAGTGCCTTGAGGACGTAAGCGTGTCAGCCTTACATCTGATTGGTCATGTCAGAGGGCCGTGATTGACCAAATGCGACGGCAGCCTGATGCAGTGCCTACTGGTGTAAAAAGAACGACTACGAGCGATCACTAGACGAAGACACTGCCGCAGGAGACACCGGAAGGTCACTAATGCACCCACCCCAACACCTCGAACGTGCTGAGCATGGGTTAGCTGGCTACTTGTCACTTCTACGTCAGGAAATTCTGTTGCCAACGCCAGGAAGTGGTTTAATAAATAAACAGTGGATCAAATACCCTAGTTGACCTCTGGTGGCTGCCACTGGTACCAAGACTCGCTACTCTGACAGCCAGTGCCCCATCTACATGCACGTTTGGCCTTCTGTCTGATTGTCCGAACACAAACCAAACACAAACGCAAACCCATAAAGTAAACAGCACAACATTCAGGTGTAGACTGATGCGGTTGGTCCTTCTTAGGACCGTTGGCATGCTTTATTATTGTGGTGGACAGCCAACGATGCTGTCCCCGTCCCAATGTTTGCTGCTTCACGGTCGTGTGTCTTAGTAGGCGGCTGTTTTTCGCTCGCTGACCTGAAGATCCTTGACTGACCTCATCGCAGGCATACACGTGTGCACACACGCGTGTCCAAACCAGTCTCGGCTGCCTAAGGATCACTTGAATACGCCATTCCTCGGCCAACCCAGCAGGGGCCTCTAAGGCGACATCTCTTCGGGTAATACAACGCACCAATAA